GTCTCAAAGTTATTTGAATGTTTTGTTACTTATCTTCCTGCCTGTCCATAAGTTGCTTTGGACTGATTCTACATCACACAGCATCAAGATCAGCTGGTTAAACAAAAACGTTTATAGCCACATTAATCAGCTGAATAATGATTAAAAACATTGAGTGCCAGTATATGCAAATCTTAAGTATTAGGTAATTGCATTCAAAGTATGCAACGACGACAAGGATAAACAAAAGAGGGGGGATTGAAGACTCAAAGCTTCATTGATGCAAGAAAGGAAACGTCTGACTCTGCAGCTACATTTAACACATTTGTGTGTTTGGTTTTATGACACTGCACTCTAACACTCAGTGTTCATGATCCATTTGTCTGCTGTAACTCAATGAGTATCACATAGAGTACTGCTGAGCTATAATTCATAGTATTTTATACGTTCATCATCACATAAAGTGTTTCTGTTGTCAGTTGGCTCAGTATCTGTAATTATTCTGTAACAAACGCACTCACTGATTAGGATATCATGAATCAGTGAGAACACTGAACTTCATGAACAACAGTTTTGTTCTTCCTTTAAACTAATTTCATGAAAATCCTGCCGATGAACAGACACAGCAGCTCCCAGAGTGACACTAACACAGTCTGGACAGGTGTCATGATGATGCTACAGACAGCAAGCAGCCCACAGGCTCAAGAGCCAGTTCTGTGAAAGTATAAAATAAAATGGATAAACAGTGAGACCAAAGTTATTAAGGTACTGTTAGAAGAATTCTCTTATAAAGTGAGACACTCAGAGTAATGAGCTTCAACGCATTTATTTACTTGCAAGGAAGCAAAAGCATTCGCAGTGAAAGACAGCTGAGTTTTATTTATGCACTTCTTACAAACTTATCCTGGGAACTTGAGAAAACTTCGCAGTGAAGCAGCTATTTACATTCTTACATACGAACAAGCATTATAGAAACAGTTACACAGTGTCCACGAGTCTAACTGTGCTTTGGATGACAGATAGCACAGGGACCACAAGACCTGAGAGAATGTGATTGACATGACATGACTCACTGTGGCTCAAAGTAAGAAGGAAACAGCTGGAGAACAAACTGAACCTGACGTGCAATCGACATGGCAAACAGACCAGATAAGATGTGTTTGAAATAAAATTTTATAACAAACTGAATCATTTCATTTAATATCTTATTGTTATGTACTGACTTTATTGCTGCCTTACAGTTTTTGAGTCTCTGTAGTTCACAGAGTGTCTGACAGACAGAGACACACTAACACAGTCTGAACAGCTTTGATGATAATCAGAGGGATTTAACATCAAACCAACTCGTGTGTTTGATGTCTGTCTGCTGGATGATCAGATCCTCTGTCTGTACCTCAATATTCACTGACAACACTGAGAGTCTAACAGCAGCAGGAGAAAAACTCTGAGACATGTCAAACAGGCTGCAGTTCATCGGGACGCTGCCTCTGCTGCTGTTTATGTTTTCTGTAGATCAAAAATCCAACAACAGCAACAACAAGAAGCACAGCAGACACTGACACACCGACTTTCCATCCTGATTGACCTGCAGGTAAGAAACAGATGGGAGGTGTTCAGAAAAAACAAGCATAAGAAACAAGCAGGAATAGAACAGAACAGAATAGCTCTTTAGTCGTTGAACACGTAAAACCAAATTGTGCGTGCTCCACACCAAATGTGCTGGAATAAAATATAAATAGCTGAGAGCAGGAATAAATAGCAAACGGGAGAAACATCTATAACAACAAGATAAAGGCACATATTAGAGAACAACATAGTTGCAGCAAAGTGCTTTAAAGTAGTGCAAAGAAAAGACTTTGTCCGAATAGAGTTCATGTGTGTTTGCCTGAGTGATGATGGAGGTACTCAGACCATGGCTCAGATCGGTGATACGGGTCTGCAAGCGTGGGATGTGGAGGGACAGTGTTGGTTAACAGTGCAAATGGCCGAGAGGAAGAAGCTGTTAGTGAGTCTGGAGGTTTGGGACTTGATAGACCTGAGGGGTCAACCAGAGGGCAGCGGGTCAAACAGGTGGTGGGCGGGGAACAAAGGGTCACCTGTGGTGGTCCTGGTCTTCCTGAGACAGGAGGATCTAGTGATGATCCCCAGGGGTTTCAGAGGGCAGACAATGACTTTTTGGGCAGTGGTAATTACCCTCAGTGCAGCCTTGTTCTCAGTTGTGGCCCTGTGTAGCAAACACCCAGGCAGCAGGAGAACACACTCTCCACTGAGGAGCAGCAGAAGGCCAGCAGCAGCTTCTGGTCCAGCTTATTCTTTCTCAGGACAAAGAGCAAGTGCAGTTGCTGCTGGGCCTTGGGAGTTGGTGTCCAGGTGAGATCAGTGGAGTTATGGGTGCCCAGAAACCTGAAGGTGGTGACAGATTCCAAGAATCCATCCATTTTCTTCCACTTATCCTGGGCTGGGGTGCGGGGGCAGCAGCTTAAGCAGGAAAGCCCCGACCCAGCCACCTCCTCCAGCCTTTCCAGAAGAGCACCAATGCATTCCCACGCCAGCTGATGGATATTATCTCGCCAGCGTGTCCTATTTCTACCCTGGGGCGTCCTCCCTGTGGGACATGCCCAGAACACCTCACCCAGGAGGCCTGAAACACCTCAGTAATAAGTAAATAAAAGTTTATTTGTACAGCACCTTTCAAGATAAAAATGACACAGGCTGAGGAGTGTGATCCCCTACAGATGGTCGGTCAGACTGAGTGAGGATGCTTAGGAAGTCTGTGATCAAAGAGCAGGTGACAGAGGGGATCTGAATCCTAACATAACTCTTCCTGATCTCCATTTGGCTCAGTGCTCTGTGAAAGGTGTTGATGCCGGCATCCTCCGTGGACCTACTTGCTCTGTAAGCAAACTAGTGGGACAAGATGGCAGTTCGTATGGTAGTATGCAGTGCACAGAACTCCAGACTACTGCGCACCTTTTTTGTATATTTGATACCTTTTTCTTACATTTTCCTGCAACACACTGATCACTTTCAGTCGTTAGGAACTAATAGAAATTGCCCACCACCGGAACTTGGACTTTGGACGGACAGTATCCTACCCGAGATTGTAAAATCACCATGTGCTGTGTGGGTGAGTTTGGGAACAGACGGCACAGGGAGAGAAAATAAAAGCAGGATCATATCCAGCTGCGATAACAACATAATCACTTCCAACTTATAATCAGTAAACAGCAACCAGGAAGCAGCTTCACCTCTGATCACACACACACTCAACTCTACTCACTCACCTGGAGGATCAGCATGCAGGTAGACACTGGTGATGAGACTTAAACTTTCTCTCTGTCTCTGAACACGACAGCTCGTATGTTCCAGTGTCATCTAATCATCACATCCTTCAGAATCAAAGACACGTCTCCATCCTTCATCTGTCTGTCCCGTAGATCCACCCGGTTCTTAAAAGATGGATGCTGATTTTCTAGATCAAACTGCCCATTGTGCTGCAAAAGGACATGTTGTGGCTCCAGGTCAGCTCTGCTCCACTCTACAACTATGATCTTGTTGTTGCTGTTTGGAGCTCGACATGTCAGAGTCACGTCCTGTCCACACTCAGCTGTGATGGTTTTCTGGTCTGAAAGAGGAAACAACACAGGAGAAAGGTTAAAGGTCAAATTACAACGGTTCACTTCTACAGCAGCCAAACAAACAAAAACACACCAACACATCACTTTTAATTTAAACATTTGATGAGCTGGGACAACATCCTCATTTGGATTTGACAGTGGTGGATGGTTTCTCAGTTTAGGTCATGCTTCATAATAAGTGCCCAAATGCAGGACTTGTTTCTAGAAGGATGTTAGAGTCACCAGTTCAAGCAGATGTTGTTCTTTAGGATTATTTGTCACTCCTGCTTATATGTTGTAGATTGTAGCTGCTTTAATCCACAAAGAGCAGAAAAGCATCAGAAGCAGCAGCAGGTCAGCTGATCACAGCCTGAACACAAAGAAAACAAATCTACTGGAGCTCACAACACTGGTTATTATGGGACTCTTGTAGAGGACACTCTTTCCCCTCACTGCACAGCTACACCTGAACTTCAGCTTCCTCCACCTAAAACTCCAAATTTGACCCTTATTATTCATAACAGTATAACTGTGCATGACAGTAGCTGTGTTTTGTATAAACACTTATACAGTGAAGCGTGCTGATAATATGAATAGTATGAAAATTGCTCTCAGGGAAATATTTTTAATATGCAGCCATTACTTCCTGTTTTATGTCAAAGTTAAATCTCACCTGCAGAGACGAACACGGCAAACATCAAAGTGAATGACGTAATTACAGCGGACATTTCCGGGTTCTGACTCTTAGTTTGTTCTAAATGTCTCAGTCTGTCCTGAGATTAAACTCTAGGCTGAAAGAAAGCAATTGGATCAGGAACGTTTGTTAAGGAAGTTGTGTCATTGTGACGATTGGTACGCTGCACTGTGGGGTCGAGTAGAAACAAGCGCGTCACACCAGAAGAGGTGAAGTCGAAAGAAAGTTTTATTCTTTCTGTTCTTGAACCATCCTCGCAGGAAAAATCTGAACCTGCTTCATGTGTCAGTCGTCATGTATGAACACTTTTTGTCTTTGAAGCAGAAGTTTGTTTTGTCTCTGCACCGAGTTTGTTTCCCACAGCAAGTTTCGAGCTCACATCCTGCTGCACCTCTTCCTGCTGCGATTTAGGCTTCAGCTCCGAGGTCTGTGTCTGCTGAGCAGCTTATCAAACAACACCGCGACACAACTCTGACTAACCTGAGAACCAGCAGCAGCTTGCACCAGTTTACAAAACCAGTAGCCTGTAAATCACCAGTTCATCCAGTGCTGTCCGATTTAAAGAACAAAGACTCATCAGTTTCAGAATTTGAGGTTTTCTGCTAAGTTTCCTCCTTTTCTATGGAGGTGAATTGTAAAGTGAAACCTTCAAACTGATTTTTTTAGCTTTTCTTTTAGCTTAAAAGACTAAAAGTGAGTTTTAGAAAAAGAAAGAAAACACTTACTGTTGTTCTGAAGGACGTCTGGAACCCTCGAAGGCCTCTGTGGTCACCAGGGTGGAAAATCTGAAAGAAAATAAAACACACATTAGATTTCTTTGTCTCTGTCACACAGACACGGACGTCCACACAGACACGGACGTCCACACAGCCCCACCCAGCCTCGCGTCTCCTTCACACACACAGACAAACTAAATCAATATAAAAATAATTCTTTGAGAAACATAACAAATTTAACCAGAGTGACACTCAGTTTGTTTTATAACAGTTAAATCTCACCCGCAGAGACAAACATGAAGCCTCATCGAACATCAGCAACGTGGAGCAGAGTGACGCAGTTATTGACCTTTAACCTCTCTGCTCTGTGTTGTTTCCTCTTTCAGACCAGACAATCATCACAGCTGAGTCTGGACAGGACGTCACTCTGCCATGTCGAGTTACAAATGACAACAAAATGATCATAGTTGTAGAGTGGAGCAGAGCTGACCTGGAGCCACAACATGTGCTTTTGCAACGGAATGGGCAGTTTGATCCAGAAGACCAGCATCCATCATTTAAGAACCGGGTGGATCTGCGGGACAGACAGATGAAGGATGGAGACGTGTCTTTGATTCTGAAGGATGTGACGATTAATGATAATGGAACATACGAGTGTCGAGTTCAGAGACAGAGAGAAAGTTTAAGTCTCATCAGCACTTTTTACCTGACTGTTGTTCCTCCAGGTGAGTGATCAGAGGTGCTTGTTGTTTACTGATTATAAGTTGGAGGATATTGAGTGCTGAGCTAACGCTAGAATCCGGGGATGTAGAAAATTATTGCTACCTGTGCTGCCCTCACGACACGTGACCATGTGAAGCTAGACAGCCAGCGAACAAAATAGACTTCCACACAAGGCTTGCTTTTCTTGCTTTTAATGAAGATCCTTTAAAGCCCTATCCTCTCTCAAGGCTTCTCCTTGCTATTTCTTATTTGTAAAAAGACGAACGTTTCCCAAGGTACAAGCGTGTAGGGCACTTTTAGCGTGTACATGAACTCCTGAAGCACATAAGAACAGAGCACACCACTACTTGCCTCACCAGGAGGGGATACAGGTGGGATGCTGACTGTCCAATTCGAAGTAAAGTCCAGGTTCAGGCCGAGGCCAAAGTCTATTAGTTACTGACAACTGAGAGTGATCAGTGTGTTGCAGGTAAATGTAACAAAAAGGCATAAAAAACAAAAAAAACAAAAAGAAAATACACAAAAGGTGCACAGTAGTTGGGAGCACTGTCCCTCTGTGAAGTTGGGGTGTCAATCTTGTCCCACCAGTTGGCTTTCAAAGCAAGTAGGTCTATGGAGGATGCCATCATCCTTCACAGACCACTGAGCCATATGAAGAACAGGAAGAGCTATGTTAGAATACTCTTTGTGGACTACATCTCAACGTTCAACGTCATAATACCAGACTTCCACCAAACGGGACCACCTTCAGATCCCCCC